TTCTTTCGGTCTTTATATCATTTTGGATACTGTTGGGGGGATGGCCTCTCAGGGGAAAGCAGCAGTAGCCTGTCAGTGGTACCATGACTGGCACTGTAATACAGTAGGGAGGATTGAAATGTAGGCGTGCAGTCATGATAGGGGTCTCTATAGGCAGGGGCACAGATAGGTGTTTCTGGAGTCTCCCACAGGTGTGTTGTCTCCCTGCTGCCAGGGTCAAGTATGTCTCTGAGCAGGCACAGGATATTCTGAAGGGGGAGGGAGAGCAACCAGAGGCCGTGGCCCAGATTGGTACCAACGACGTAGGCAGAACAAGAAATGGGGTCCTGCAAAGAAAGTTCAGGGAGTTAGGTAGTTGAAAAGCAGGATCTGTTGGGTTGTAATCTCAGGATTACTTCTTGAGAAATCCAGCGAGGCCATATGGATAGAGCTCAGGAATAGGAAGGGTACAATCGCTTTGATGGGATTGTACTACAGGACTCCCAATAGCCAACAGGTGATAGAGGAGCAGATATATGGACAGATGGTAGAAAAATTTAAAGTCAACAGGGTTGTTGTTGTGGTGGGTGATTTTAACTTCCTTTGTATTGACTGGGACTCACTTAGTGCAGGGGTTTGGATGGGGGAGGATTTGTTAGATGTATCCAAGACAGTTTTTGAATCAATATGGAAGTAGTCCAACTAGGGAAGGGCCATATTATACCGGTATTGGGGTTGAGGCCAGCCAGGTGATTGATGTTTCAGTGAGGGAGCATTTCGGGAATAGTGACCATAATTCCCTAAGTTTTAAGTTACTTATGTATGAAGGTAAGAGTAGTCTTTAGGTGAAAATACTAAATTGAGGAATGGCTAACCACCACAATATTAGGCCACAACTGGGGAATGTAGACTTTGTGCTGCTGTTTGAGGGTAAATCCACATCTGTCATGTGGAAATCTTTTTAAAGGCCAGTTGATTAGAGTTCAGGCCAGCGTGTTCCTGTGCAAATGAAGGATAAAGATGACAAGATTTATGAATCTTGAATGCCACGAAATTGAGAGCTTAGTCAAAAATGAAAAGGACACATATGTAAGGTTTAGGAAACTGAAGGCAAATAGAGCCCTCAAAATGTACAAAGATAGCAGGGAAGAACTCAAACAAGGAATCAGGAGGGCTAAATGGGTTATGAAACGTCTTTGGGAAAAAAAAAGAGAGGTGATGTCGCGTGGTATCAGCAATGAGCTGGTAAAATGGATACAGAGCTGACTTAGTCACAGAAAACAGAGGGTAGCAGTGGAAGGGTCTTTTTCTAACTGGAGATCTGTGACCAGTGGTGTTTTGCAAGGATCAGTGCTGAGACTCCTGTTATTTGTACTGCATATAAATGACTACGAGGAGAATATAGGTGGCCTGATTAGTAAGTTTGTGGAGAACACAAAGATTGAGCTGCAGATAGTGAAGAGGATTGCTAGAGGATACAGCAGGATATAGATAGGCTGGAGACTTGGGCAGAGAAATGGCGATGGGATTTAATCTGAACAATGCGAGGAGATGCATTTTGGAAGATCTAATGCAGGAGGTGTACAGTAAATGGTAGAATACTCTAAAGCATCAACATAGAGAGGGATTTAGGCGTATAGGTCCACAGTTCCTTGAAAGTAGCAATACAAGTGGATGAGGTGGTCAATAAGACATTTAGCATGCTTGCCTGCATCGATTGGGGCACAGAGTATAAAAATTAGCAAGTCATGTTGTAGCTGTATAGAACATTAGTCGGTCACATTTGGAACATTGTGTACAGTTCTGGTTGCCACACTACAAGAAGGACGTGGAGGCTTTGGAGAGGGTACAGGAACGGTTTACCAGGATGTTGCCTGGTATGGAGGGATTTAAGCTGAGGGATGACCTGATAAAAGTTTGTAAAATTATGAGAGGCATGGATAGAATGGATAGTTGGAGTATTTTTCTCAACGTATAAATATATCAATTACTAGGCGACGTAGATTTAAGGTAAAAGGATGTAAGTTTAAAAGGATGTGAGAGGCATGTTTTATACCCTAACATGAAACATGGTGGTAAGTGCCTGGAATATGCTGGTAGAGGAAGTGGTAGAAGCAGATACAATAGCAACATTTAAGAAGCATCCTGACAGATATATGGTTCAGAGATAGTGGGAACTGCCGATGCTGGAGAATCTGAGATAACAAGGTGTAGAGCTGGATGAACACAGCAGGGCAAGCAGCATCAGAGGAGCAGGAAAGCTGACATTTCGGGCCTTGACCCTTCTTCAGAAATGGGGGAGGGAAAGGGTGTTCTGAAATAAATAGACAGAGAGGGGGAGGCGGATGGAAGATGGATAAAGAAGCAGATAGGTGGAGAGGAGACAGACAGGTCAAAGAGGCGGGGATGGAGCCAGTAAAGGTGAGTGTAGGTGGGGAGTTAGGGAGGGGATAGGTCAGTCCAGCGAGGATGGACAGGTCAAGGAGGCGGGATGAGGCTGGTAGGTAGGAGGTGGGGGTTGGGGTAAAAGTGGGAGGAGGGGATAGGTGGGAGGAAGGACGGACAGGTCAGAGAGGCGGGGATGAGCTGGGCTGGTTTTGGGATGCGGTAGGGGGAGGGGAGATTTTGAAGCTTGTGAAGTCCATATTGATACCATTGGGCTGCAGGGTTCCCAAGCAAAATA